AATAGTAACTAAAGGTAAAAAAAAAAAAAAAAAAAAAAATAAGATTTCCTTGTAAATTTTTTTATTTTATAATAAATGACTATATGTTTAGATTAAATCTAAACCAAACCCAGATTAACTTTTAGTTGTTGATTTTGTAATTCGAGAGCTTCTACCTCTGCTGTTTCCTTTCTAAGCTTTAGTTGACGTTCCAATAATGCCATTTTTCTTTCCTCTAATTCAATGTTTGTAGACATATTTTCTATCTTAATTTCATTGTTTTCGCCTGTGTCAGATTTAATTTCTACTATCATTTCATCCGCAATTTGATTATTAATATTAGAATGTGATTTTTTTTGTGTGGTATTAGTGGGTAATAATTTTCTTTTACGAGATTTTTTTGTTTCAGATTTATTGTTTTTAAATCTTGTGACTATAAATAAAAAATTAAATTATTTTATAAATTTATATGAATTATATAAATAAATAATAATACATATTTACTTTTATGATTTGACTCAATTTGTTGTCATTTGACTTGACTTTTATCACACCGTGAATATGGTATACCTGAATTATTGTGGGTATCTTTAATTTTTAGTAATCTTTCATCGTATCGTTTTCTGCTAAAAAAAAAATTTAAATTAACAATTATAAAAATAATATAAATAACATAATACACAATTAGTAATTTAAATATACCATAAAATAGCTGACATCAATTTTAGTTGCTTTCCTTCTTTGTTAATTAAAGCATGAGCTGACTCTGCTATATTAGTATTATTTCTATATTTTCTCCAAATATGACATTCCATTTTTGACATATTTATATTTAACGATGAAATAATCCATGGAGTTTTATAATATTTTGCCCAATCTAATTTTTTTTAAAAAAAATTAAAGTTAAAATTATTTAGTTTAATTAATAAATTAATTTATTTACCTTTTGCGCCTGATTCATTTGAACATTTAATTTCATCTAAGATAGTTTCAACTAATTCTTGAGAAAGTGCATTGATAATAGATTTTGCCAAATTATAAATTTTCTTTGAAAAATGTTTGTTAAATAGATTTCTAAATTATAAAATAAAAATATATATTTTATTTATTTATAATAATCGATAAAATATTTATAGATTTAAAATTACAAACCATTAGAAATATACAATACATGATTTCAAAATATGCATCAAATGTGTTTCCCAATCCTTTGTTGTGTCTAGCTCATATAAAGCAAGACCTAATCCTTTTGCTTGTGTGATATCTAAATCACCTAATATGCACTCCCAGCCTTTTTCATGTATATGATATAAACATAAAGGTTTATTAGTAAGCTTTTGAATTACATTAAATAAAATACTAAATAATTTTTTATAATCATTAGTAGATGAAACGGTTGTATATATTCGACAAAAACTCATAACTACAATTTAATAAATTAAATAAATTAATAACCATAATATTAAAATATTATTAATTAATTATATTATACATATGATATTGATACATTTACCTAATTTGTGGTTTTCGTCGTATGTATTAATCTCAAATTCATTAATATCGCCCCTAACCTGCTTAAAGGATAAATCAATTTGGAAACTTTTCAAGTTGATCAACAATTCTGCTTGTTTTTTTAACATGCAGATAATTAAAATTAAACCGGTATTAACCCACTCTAAGCAAAAAATTTAAATTAGTATATATCAATATTATAAAACAGAAAAATTATAATAAATTAAACATACCAATACATTGAATATAATTATTTAATTTAGATTGCAGGTATGGTGGCTAGTGTTGTACCCAGGCGGACTACTTAAATTAGATACCCAAAAGGTGTACGTGTGGCTAGTTGTATCCTCGTGAATCTGATGTAATATCGTAACTATCCGAAATAAAGCTCATGCCAATAGCCTAAGTGGTCACCTTTAATATTAAAAAAAAAATATATATATATATAATTATTTAATTCTGGATGATTATTTTTAGCAGCATGAAAGATACCCAATATTCCCTGACCGTAAGAATGCGAATTTTTGTAAGCTTTTGCAATAAAAATTCATAATTTATCAATGCTATTTAATGATTGATGAATATCTGAAAGTGTTTCCGATTTAAAAAATGCTTTTATTAAATTATCTAAAAAATTAATAATTTTAAATTAATAAATTTTTAAATTAATAAAATAAATAAATAAATAACTATATACGTGAGTGGATATTTCTTAAAGTAATTGCATCATTTTCACTAATTACTTGATTAATTAATGCTTGAAGATTTGCTTTTATATCTGCAGGAATTTTTTCAGGATGAGGTGGCGGATGATTGTGTGTTCCAATACAAACTAATGCGATAAAAGGACAGGCTTTAAGATCTTTAGGTGTAAATTTATAAAATTTTACTGGACTGTTTTTTGGATAATTTCACCATGATCAATATTTCCATTAGAAAGATTATGAATATAGTCTAAAAATATATATTATAATATTAAATATTAAAATAATTAATTTAAATAATTATAAAATTAAATTATTACCACATTTTTTTCTTTTAGATAAACGATGCAATAAAGTTGTACAATATGGTAACTGTTCTTGAATCTAAAAATTAATTAAATTATGTTAATTGCATATTAGTTATTAATTTATAATATTAATTTATAATTACAAACTGTGTATTATCTCAGCTCTTCCAAGAAACAAATCCCAAAGAAGTACAACATCTATACTTTCATAATTAATCTTAATATAACGATGCTATTGATCACTAATATTATATTTTAAGCAGCTAATAAACTATTGAAATACATTTGGAGATAATTGTGACTTGTATAAAATTGGGTTTCCAGAACATATAATTCCATTATTATTTTTAAACTTGCAAGGATTATTTTTAGCAGCTAAATATTTTCTAAATTTACCGGTATAAATTAATATGTATTTAAAATTTATTTAATTAACCAATTTTATAACTTACATATATGTATTAGTTTTTATAATATCAACATCTTGATTTTCGATAATCTTTTTACATAACGGGAACCCAACATCAACCTCATTATGTTCAATATTTATAAGTGAAGGATCGGTAAAATGACATATTTTAATTCCCATACAGTCTCGTTCCTCTTTGTGTGCTTGAATATTTCCAAAATAAGATGAACTTTTAATTAAATGAATACTACCACCACCCATTGAATATTGTATCTAAATAATATCAATACGTATATATTAATAATTAATTATTATTATTATATACCATAATATAGTAAAAAAAAAAATTGATACATTTTTCCATGCATGGGTCAGATCTGTCCAATCTGCAACATGAAATACAGTTGCAACACCTTCTGGTGAAGTCAATGGGTATTCTACAAGTACACTAGAATAAACTATATTTTTTATATTAAAACAGGATGTAAAACATGCGATTTTAAAAAATTCGTCATTCTCATTAACTAATTCATCTTCAAACGGCTCAATTTCTGACAATGATAATTCCTAATAATACAATAATAAAATTTTAATATTATCGTTATACGAGCCAAAATCAAATTCAGTTTTGCTAAAAATTCAACGATAATAAAAAAACTAGTTTTTTTATATGTACAGTACATACCGATGCCTGTTTACAGTGTTCATTTTTCATGTGCGCAAAAGTGTGCGCATGTGTGCGGATCCAATAAAATAGCTTTATTTAAAATTTTGATTGGATCCGCACACGTGCGCACACTTTTGCGCACGTGAAAAATGAACACTGCCTGTTTATATTCAGGATCTACTAGTTCAACTTGAAATTCTTCAACATCAGATAAAACAGGTTCTATTTTTTGATCGTAATTACCAAAGAAAGAAATCACAATCGAAAAGAGAATTTTTACTAAAAAGAGAATTTACTATTAAATTTTTGAATATCAATGGGTAAATCAATTAGCATTAGTATACATAATACAATAATGCATAATGTATGATGCATAAACTATGCAATCATGCGTTCGTCTGAGTACAGTAAAAACTTTTTATTTTTTTTGAAAGTCCGTACTAACTTGTATTACCATACTGTACTACTTTACTATATACTCTTATAAAATGACTGTCAAAATTTTAGCGTACAGTATGTATAGTACGTACAGTACAGTACATATAGTATAGTATGTGGCGCATCACTACGTGTAAGAGGAGTGCCATTTATCATCTGATTTTTTAGGTAGATGGGGAGTCATGAAAATATCAGGTCTTATATAGTATATGTAATACTGACTGATCAAATCTCCCTAATAGTGTTAGCAGATTTAGGTTGATCAAATTATAGATTCTACCACCTCAACTTGCAAGTCCCTGAGTACTTATATGCAATATGATATGGTATAGTATATTTGCAAATCTAGGTTTATATAAAGATTAGATTATTAGCTTATTTTAACACCTCAACTTGCAAGTCAATGATTAGAAGTTTTGTGTCAATTACATGAAATGGACAAAGATTCAGAATTCAAATAGTCAAAGTTAAATTAAAAGGTGATTCATGACACTATTATCATAATAAAGGTCAGGATTAAGTAATATGATTTTTTATAATAAAATGGTTCAAATATAAACTTAATTAGGTTGCCTTCAAGAATAAGCATTTGGGATAATTCGAATCCCTTAAAAGCAAGTTATCAAAATTATTATACTAAAACTATTTAAATATATACATAAAATGTTTATAAGCAGCTTGAAAGATTCTAAACTTTATTTTTATTTGTAGTAACATAGCCAGTTATACTATTAGATATAATATCCGAATCTTTTGACAAAAGAAATATTCTTGGAATTAAGTTTTTTTTTTTTTTTTTCTATATTTATATTTGTCTTTTATATATATATTTGCCCGATTTGAATTTTCAAGAATTTTATTCTAACACCAAATTTTTTTTTTTTAAGCATATTAGTTTAGGTTTTAATTTATGCCAAACATTAAAAAAAAAAAAAAAAGGAAATCTACCACTCAATGTCTGACTGTATCTCGTGCCATTCTATAACTACCTGTAGGTTCGAATATATTACATCTTCAGCAGAGTTATAATTAGTCATTTGTCAAGGTAAACATTCATGCTTTGAACAATGTTTTCTCTGCTTGTGGTTTGCCAAATATTTGAGGGCAGAAAAATATTTACTGCATGCAGTGCAGCATAATCATTGGTGAAGTTCTTAAGAAATTGATAGACAACAACAATCATATTGTAAGATTTTGAGTTTGTCATAATATTGTAGGGCATGTATTGGGTTAGTGTAATGCTGGTCTTTACCTTTCATAATAGGTAGTTGAAATCCATTGTTTTAATCCAAGAGAAGAGCATATTAGGTGCTCTATATTCATTACAATACATAGAATTTTTACACTTCTTAATATCTAATGAATAACAACATATTTGTACATGATTCTCAATCCATTCTTATGATATTACAGATCCTATTTCAGCAAATGGCTGTTTGATTTGGTCCACATACTCTGTTGTAACTGGCTTACTGTATATATCATCTCTCTTCCATATATCACACAGACTTTTTTCTGCAAATTCAAAGTTTTTACGTACCAAGTCTTCATTTAACACTCTTCTCTGACTATCTAAATGAGACCCAAATTTATTAATAGGTAGCATGATACTAGCAAGTTTTGCGAATAGAGAAGCCATGAAACGTTTAACAGAGTTGTATGCACTCTGCCCTGGGGCATGTATATGGATAGTTAAATAGTCAAGATCAAAATTACAAAAAAATTACAATACTGAATTATATTTTTCATATGCTTAGAATTCTCGTCAGGTCCGCTATCAACTATAAGAACCCAAATTGGTTTAACTTTGACCTCTTTCATTATAGCTATGGCAAATTGTTGATTGGAAATGATATTTTCGAGGTCAGACATATGGGTTAATGTTATTGTACCAAAAAAATACTCAGGTCTAACAAACATTGCACATTGGCCCTGACGAAGATTATTGTTTGAGTTAGCTGGATCGATAACAAGATAAACAGAGGGTATGAGTTTTATTTTACTACTAACCAGAAAGTCATAGTCAGCAACTGAGATGGGTTTATTAATATTTTGAATGGTTTTAAACATACGACCAACTGCTGGAACACCTAAACCAATTTTCGCTTTATCATCTTAAGAGATAATAACTGCATCATCAGGAAAAACTTCAACCAGGATCTGGGAGGCTTTGACAGAAGCTAAGCAATAATGTTCATCAACGTGAGATTTCATCTCTGTTCATGCTATAGAGGCAAAAGCTACTCTAGCCAGATAATGGTGATGATATGCTGCAAATGTATTTGGATGGCATGGTTCTAAATATGTAGATATGCATTGGTGAGATAAGTACACATTATATTTATCTTCTAATGCTTGGCGAAGATGCTTTATTGTGCGCACTTTAACAACAACTTTTCTTCTTTTTTTGTGCACAGCTCCAAATTCAATACAGTCATGAATTTTATTCCAAAAATCAGAATGGATCATTGCTGCTGATGGCCTTTCAGGTTTATCATATTTTCTACAATACCTTCTTCAAGCATTTTTGCTTTTTTTTCTTCGAGCCTTGCTTGGGCTTGGGCATGTCTTTTTAGCTTTTTTAATTGCATTTCCTGTTTGTTACCTATTTTTTTTTCATTAACCATATTTGATACTAATATTTACTTAAATGATTCATCCGTTGAGATTAAATACATTTGTTTATATTCTGATTTTTTTTTAGTCGCTGCTGTTATTTTTTGAAATGCATCTCATTGACTTACGGCATTTTTGGGCAATTTATCTTCACGTTGTAGAGACGCATGAATCAATAAAGTATTATTTGGTAAAAAAGAGCTACTAGAATTATTCATATTGCATAAGGTAAATTTTGATTGATGGCAATAAATGTGTGAAGGAATTGAATTAAAATATGAACGTATTTTTTCATCAATTACTATTTTATTTTCTTTTTTGATTTGTTTCCAGGCCAGGTTACAATCCTTCATGAGTTGTTGACGATTTGGGTGTGAGTTACAAAGAGATACTTGTTTATAATATGCGAATGCATTACTAAATTTCTCATAAAGAGTTTGAGGCTCTTTAAAGAAAAAAGTTTTGTTGAAATTAGGCATTGATAAGAAGCTTTGCATTGTTATAAAGCTTATTTATCACAGATTAATGACTAAATTTATTGAGCTTTGGAATTATGGGAAGTGTCAACTTTTGAAAATGATTTTTTTATATTTTTTATTTTATTTTTATTTTTTTATTTTTTTATTTATTTATTTTTTTATTTATTTTATTTTATTTTATTTATTTATTTATTTGTTCGTTGCTAAATAGTATATAATGGGAAGTTCGAGACATCAAATTATATGAATGTTTTATGATTAATTGGGAGAATAACACATGTATCAACATGCGATTTCTCCAGCCTTAACCAGGGATTATATGGAATGGATGATATACAGTTAGATGAGTATGATTTTTTGTTGAAGAGCACCTTTTAAATACATGTCTTTTTTTTTTTTTTTTTTTTTGGTTAGTCACAATCATATTTATGATTTTGTAGAGTATCGTATCTCATATGTAGTCAACACGCCACACAATTATTCGAATTGGATTTTTTTAGCTGTCATTGAGGTGAGCAGTCCTTTTATAATTATATGAATAAGTCAGTTTACATGTAAATTTTGCATATACTACTTTTTACTACCTATCTCATTCTAAAGAAGTTTAAATGATCAGTAGGTTGTATTTATACTGCAGTATTACGTGATTGCGCATTCCCTCAAAAAGCCTTTTTGTATTACCTTATTACTCAAGGCTACAATTTGGGCTAAATTTGCGCTTAATCTGTGGCGGTAGCTGTTTGCAAAATGATGTATTTTTGATCAAATTTTGCAGATTGCAGCTCACACATACAATCGCCTGATTGTTGTCTGATTGTGCGAAGTTATTTTTGAAGATATGAACATAGAAAATTGCTTTACAATCGCTCTATTGAATGACAATTAAATAATTGTACATGTGAATTGCGATCTGCCAAATTAAAGATATTAACCAGGTCAGGGACATGGAATTTATGCGATAAGCATTTTGTAAATTATGCGTGCGGTTATGTAAATAATACGATTTGCTGTGATTAAAAATAAAAAATAAATACTGCGCTCAACTAATACTGATCTTTTATTGTATGATTTTTAAATAATGCTACAGACCCGTTTTATGATTTATGCATTGATTTTTAAAAAAACTGCGCTCAACTAAATCCAATTTTTTTTCACGTTTTATAATTAAATTATTTCGAACTTTAATGTACTACTAGAATTAATTTATTTATTTCGAAATTTAACATACTACTAAAATTAAATTATTTCGCACTTTAACATTCTACTATATTATTAATTTGTTCGACCCTATTATTAATCAGTTGTTATAATAGTCAAATACAGGCCAAATCAAACTGATAGCATTCGTATTGAATATACATGTGAAATATACGATTTAATGCGATTTGGTTTATAAAATTTGTGTTCCTGAACCAGATCCGATCTTTGAACTTAATTCGATTTTTTCAAATTCGGATATAAAACCAAATCTACAATACTTACACAAATTTCCATAATAATAAAATAGCTTGCTTTAGAGAGGATCGAATATGATTGTTGAAATAAATCCGGAGCCGTGAATAGTTTGATTTTATATGTATAAAAAAAAATTGATTTTATTGGTTAATTATAATTATATTTATATTTTTTTTAATTCATATTTTAACCAATCAAAAATCTTAAATTATTACAGTATCAGGTGGGGGGTAGGGGTTAGCCAATTAGTAAGCCCTAATCACCTGATAAATGGCGCTCCCCTAACCAATCATTTGTCAAATAACCGTATTCGACAATTTTCCCAATAATGGTGTTATCTGGCAATTTATGATCATGATTGGTAGAGAGTCGCTCGCTTGAGTTTTAATTTGAATACTGGAATAAACATAATTACATAAAAAGAAATTTTTTCATGATCATATGAGTTTGCGCTTTGCAAAAAGATGTGAACTGCAGATCATTTTTTCATGTGAGAATCGGAGATTTTATAGATTTTTAGAATTAAACCGATTTCAAAGAAACATAAACGTAACCAATCGAAAATATAAAGTAACAGACAATCAGGAATCTTAGTGATTCTCAGCAATCATCACTAAAATCACATGTTCACATCATTTTGCAAAGCGCTATAATTGTTGTAAATTTGATGATAATAAACATAGAAATTTTGTTATAGCATTAAATACCTTTTAGGGCAGACATTCCAACGTCAGTCAATTTCGTACAGACAAGGATAAGAAAGTAAGACTGAAAAAAAAATAAAATGATTAGACTCAAAATACGTAATTGATTAAATTCATTGCTTAAGGCTAACAACCTAGCTTCTGTAATATACATAACTCTCTAATCAAATACAATTATAAAACCAGTCAATTCCACTTTTTACTGATTGCCACCATTCTATAAAGAACATTTAATAAAATTGAAGCCATACCTTAAAAAAATATATATATATAAATCATCTAAATTCACTAGAAAAGTCTTATGTATATCATAATTCTTTCTCTCTATTCAGAAAATTAATGAATTTAAGGGAATTAAATTCTACAAATGTAAAGTTGTTATTTATTATAAAATAAAAAAATTTACAAGGAAATCTTATTTTTTTTTTTTTTTTTTTTTTTACCTTTAGTTACTATTTCAATCCAAATTGACCAATGCGATGGTTTCTATTAATATAAGCACTACCACATTTTAAAGTCACATTCTGGATAATCCAATATTCCGAAATTTAAAAACTAGAGGTTTTACAGGACAATGGAAGGTGTTAATTGCACATTATTAAAACATTGAAAGTTCTGTAACGCTGTTACAAACGAAAAATGATATTAACATCATATGATAAAATTTTTCATTAATAATAAGTTTAAATCTTCTAAATTAAATGCAAAAACACAATTTGTAAAAGAGTACGTAGACCATTCATTATCTCATTTGTCTTTGATAAATTTAATGTTTTTTAGATCTCCAAAGACTAAAATATTGTATAAATACATGAATACTTGATTTTGTAAAGTCAATATTATAGAAAGTAATATAGTTGTTAGACGAAACCTTTTTCGTATTATGACGAAAGACGAAACCTAAACCTCCAAAAGACGAAACCTCTGACGAAAGTCGAAACCCCAAATTTTTCTGACAAAAGACGAAACCTTAAACTAAAATGACGAAACCTAAACACTCAAAAAACGAAACCATAGTGCTCATGCTAAAAAAAAAAAAAACCGAAAAGAGAAAACAAACATTATTTTCTTTGAATTAACATTCATAATATTCAGAGATCAATATCCGAAATTACATGTATGCCAGCAAAACAAACCCAGTTCATTTTCCTGGACAATGCTAGGGCTGTTATAGTCCAGTTGAAATAGCCTTG